CGTCGTCGTCGTCGTCATCATCAAGCTCCTCTTCTTCATCCGCACAGTCTTCTTTGTCGGCTGTCGTATACTGCTCTATATCACAGTCATCTTCATCCCCACTATCCAACCCAAGCTCACCACTACCGCTCTCTCCTGCGTGCACACTCGTTGCTGCGGGGCTACTGGATGTACCAGTACCTGTCTTGTTAGTGCATAAGCAGCCTCCCTGAACAGTCTTCCAGTAGTCGTCATGCCATATTCTGTCAAGCAGGACAAGTGTCTTTTTCCTCAACTGCACATCAATCATCTTCCGTAGGATTAAAGCATCAAGTCGATATATCCGGAATACAAATGCCAAGGCTCGTTTGAAGATTAGTCGATACTTCCTCGTACTCGAGGGCTGTCGTACGAGTGTGAACGGCTTGGGGTAACTCGACTGTAAGCGAACGCTTTTCAGCCAGCATAGTACGCTGCGGCCTGTCTTCTTTGCTGTTTCTTCACATCTATCCATCATAGGATCGAATAATCGAAGAATGTGGGCAATTCTTAGCTCGTCGCTCGGCGAACTTACGAGATCTTCTTGAAGCCCATCCACACCTTTCCGCGCTAGTAGGTAGGGCTGTACATCTGGTCCATATCGCGGAACTCTTACGAGAGTGGTAAGAAGGTGACGGCTTTTCTTCCTAAATATCTCCTCCCAACCAGTCCGCTCCAGCCAAGGCCGTTGTTCGGCGAAGGATAGGGATGGGGTACTTGAATTGTCGGTCCATGTTTCGGCCGCCCGCAAATCGCGGATGCGGTCCCTCTCGTTCTCTCGCTGTCGCACCGATTGATAATGATCACCTTCTTTTGTGTTGACTTGCTGGTTCCCGTCGGAGTCAGTTGCGTTGCTGTCATCCGCAATAATCCAATACTTTCGTCCTGGGCCTGTGTTCCATTTCTGTAGTCGCACGGGTTCAACGAATCGTCTATTTGAGCAGCGAACTTCCTATTGGCGCTAGCAGAAGAGCACGAATAGCCTTCAGGCCCTTTTGAGTAATGGCGTTTTGTGATAATCTGGAGACTAGTGGTTCGAAATTTGCATTGATTGCATGCGAAACCTTTTGTAGATTCGCAATTTTGAGTGCTGTGGAGAGCCGTCTTCGAAGGCAGGGATGTCCTCTGGGTTTCGTAGTTCAAATGCTGCCAGCCGCTGTGTTAAACCTTTTTTCTGATCCGTAGAGATGCCATGAAAGTTGCGCAAATGCGTTGTCGCCCGCGAAGCTTTGATCGAGATGGCGCATCTGCATCTGTCGTGACAGCAAATAAGAGCGGCGGCATCATGGTCTATCCACAGTTTAAGGCTAATAAACCGCTGGTCTTGGTCCCGCATTATAAATTGTCGAGCGTTAACGAGAAGTAGTGTGAAGGGATTATCTCTTGATACTATTTTCCCTGTTGTTTGTTGAGGTGTTGAGGTTTAGAGGTGTAGAAATGCAATAACAGAGAGATTAGGGGTTGCCTTGCCCTCTTGTTGAAAAAGCAACAGGGAGCTTTCACGTTCTGTAAAGGCGAGGATAGGGGCTCAATCATGTAATTTCATAAAATTACACGAACAGGGGTCATAACTTGACGGGCCGGGCCACACGCGCGGGATTTGGGATAAAAAAAAGGAAATCTGGAGGTTAGGCAGCGCACGGACGAAAAGTGTGTAATTTAGTAAATTACTGGGACCCTTTGTACAGTAAGGACCTTTCTAACGAAGGGCA